TATTCGAGGTGATAACGAACAATTGCTCTTTATTGGACATTGTTAATGACGTTCATATAGTCTTTTTTAGTGATGGTTTTTTTCTCCAAAAGCCGTTTTAATATGCCATTGACTTCGTCGTATTGTCTGTCCGATCGATGACCTTCTTTCATGGCCGCTAATATTATTTCTAATCTATTAACTATAGTTCATCGTTGTTATCTGGTAAAAAAGTTATACCTTGCCCAGATGCCACCATATCATCGAATTCGTCTATTTCTTGTATGATTGGATAATCTTCTGCATAATCATCTACATCCTCTTCATCATGTTCAATTACTCTTTTATATAGTTTAACTTCTTTCGATCTTCTTGTTTCGGGTCCCGACTTTCTTATTGCATCTAGAAATTTTGAGTATGCTACTAAATCCTTGTAATCGGCAATTTCAATGTCCTCGCCATTCATTAAATCTATTAACCCTCTCGTTAATGTGTATATGTAATCTTTTGTATCGATTTTTAATTGTGGTGAATTTCCACTAAATCTTATTCTAAAACCATTGAACAACAAACCCTTATCAACGATTGGTGAAATGCTCTTTGGTAAATCTGGCTCAGGGTTTGAAAAAAGACGTTTTATATCATTTAATGTCCTAATTATAACACCACTATATTCAATCGCTTTGGGGTGATGAGGTGTGGGTTCTATACGAGGTGTAGGTTCTAAAGCTAATTTCTTTTTAATATCTTCTTGAGATTTTAATATGGGTTGAAATAGAGTCTGTAGATTTTCCGTTAATCCGAGTTGTTGTAATCTGTTATTTTCAACTTAGGTCTTTATTTTATTCTTAGCTTTGATATATTCTCTATTTCCTTTTTAAAATATTATTCCAATCCGTCATTTTTAAAAAAATAAAATTTAACAAATGTCTGTCATAACTCTTTCACCCGCGGGTTTCTATTATTTACAAATACATATCCATGATCATCCGGGTTTCCCCATTGAGCTTTACAATCCTTTTTATCTCTGTCCATTCCGTGATTTATCGACTGAATGATTTGAGATAAATCTTTGTCGTTTAGTTCAAACAGCAAAAAACAATTTGCGTTCTTTCTGATAAACATGGCGTCCATTCCGTAGAAAGATTGGGGTTGATATATGCATTGACAGTTGTGATGTCTTCCCTTCGTGAAGAATTCTTGTTGAACGGTTTGTCTTTTTTGTGCTAAGCAGTCGTCAAAGACAATTAAGTTCTTTCGGTGGTTGTCGATTTTAGACAAGTCTAAATCGTTGACGTTTTTAGTCAGAAACACTTTGACGTCGGTCGGTTTCAGAGAGGGATTCTTTTCTTTGATAAAGTCGTCTAAATTGTCTTTTATTTCTGCGTTCTCTTGCAAGTCTTCGTTGCTTTCGTAGTAGTGAAAAATGTCTTGAACTTCTTCTTTCGAGATGTATTCCAAAGCTTTGAGAAACTGATAATAGGATTGTTCGGGAGTAGTCGTGTAAATATACAGAGACTCGAAATCTAAAAGGTTCGGTGTTGTCAACATGTTAAAAGTGAGGTAAGTCTTTCCACAACCCGAAGATCCGCAAATGCACATGAGCATCGGGTTGCTAGGAAATATGTCTGAATGTTTGAATTTCTTGCCCATTTTTATTTATTACATTTTCGTACCAAAAATCACCCCGTTGCCTTTATACTTTGAAACAAAGATTCCCTCGTCCGAACGTATGTTTTTAAAAAATATGGCGTTGCCCTTGTGTTTGACCTTCATTTCTCCGGTGTCGATATTATTTATTAATTTGCTTAATCCCTCTTTAACGGTTTTCTTGGTTTCTTCGCCAAATCTTTGTCCGAATTCTTTCACCGTCCCTAAAATATCTCCTACTCCCGAACCTCCTCGTGCTTCTCTTTCCATTGCCAAATTGTATCTACGTTCTTCAGCTGCTTTTACTGCAGCTGCTTTCTTTGCGTTGACAGCTTCGGCTATCCCAGCAGCCCCACCAGCAGTTGCTCCTGCTGCAGCTAAACCAGCAAAGATTATAGGTAAGAAAGGTAAAAATCCACCTTTTTTAGTTAAATTCTCATCAATTCTTTCCCAGTCTATATCGTCTCTGACTTTGCAATGTTTGTATTTATCGATAATCTTTTGGGTAATGTGCACTTTTTTACCGTTGTAAGTTATTAGAGTCGGCGAATTCGTTTCCATAGCTTCTATTATTTTCATAACTAAAGTTTCTGGTTTCATTTTTAAAGGGTGTTTTTTTATTCAATTCTTATCATTCTTCTATCTGATAT